CAATTATCAATTGAGCCTTTTGTTTTTGTTCTGTCGTATTATCGAGATCTCGTTGTAAGCATATATTCGCATACCGTCATCGTGAGGAGAATAAACGTACAAGTTGGAACCGTTTCAATTATTTCGTTGTTTGTTTCGTTATTTTTCGATTGGTACCGTCAACCGATTACAACACTGATTATCCCAGTCTACACTGGTTTCTTCACTTATTCGCCACCAAATCGCTAGACAGATAACACACGATGTGGATTTTGGCGCAAAGAGAAGTTTGTCGAGAAAATGAAACAAAAACAACCATAAGTATAGGTGATCACATGGTATTGATCGTAACTTAGAATATATAATCACGAGTAAAGTTTTCAAAGGCTAACAAATTTTGTTGACTTTGAAAAATTTAGAAATGCTTATTTATTTAAAGTTGCACAGTAATAATCATGTGACTACTTGGTAATTACTTAATAACTCACTTGAAAACAACTATTTAAGGTCGTCTGCAAATTGTTTCTTTGAAAGGCTGCAAAGTTTATGGTATGCCAATAGTTTCGAACATTTCCGAAAATATTAGCGAAATGTCCAATATGTTCGGAAATCTTCGGCTAGCTTCGGGTGATCTTCGGCAATAATGGGAAATCTTTGGCAATCTTCTGAGGGATTTGGGTGATTTTCGGAAGTGTTCCAAACCGTTCGGATGATATTCGTTGATCTTCGAAAGTTTTCTGGTAAACTTCGTCCACCTTTGAAGTACCTCGGATTACCCTTGATAGTGATAGGCGTTGTCGTAATAACTTGGGATATCTTCGTTGTAATTTGCACTGGTGTTTCAAATTTGCACTACTGCTAGACGAAAACTGTACTCTTTTTTAGCCAATCAGAATCGAGCAATTATTTCAAGCGTATTATTAGAGTTATAAACCTTTCTGCCACCCCCATGTGGAAATGTATACGGTGGTGGAAAGCAAAACCCGTAGGAGTGGTTTGACGTACAAGCAACTAACTAGAAGTGGAACTGTTGTTCTCTATAGAGGACCCAATTTAAGGAACTGCACAATTTTTCAGAGCGAGGTTATGTATTTTTTGCTCAAGAAGCAAACCTAGCACTAGAAATGCTGTTTAAGCCCCTTTTTTGCATATTAATGCTCCATTACTGCTTATTGAGGCTCACTTGACATTAGCTTGGGCCTTGGCCCAAATTCGACTGAGCAAATCTGACCAAATCTCCCTTGTTATTTTTCTTTAGGCAACTTAAAATGAAAACATATTACAACAAAACTATTCGCAATCTAAAATTGGACAAATTCCTTTACAGACGTATTAGTAATAGCTTAACACGATTGCATCAACTTTATCAATAGAAACAAAACTAACCTTCAGAGATTTCTCCCTCGGAAAACAGACCAAATGAAAGGATGAAAACAAAGGTACACGAGATGAAAATGGAAGGCATGTTTGAAGTGAAGACTAGTGGCCAAAGAGGACTTCTTCCGAACATTTCACATCGTGAAGATTCAGTAACTAAAATTAAAAACACTGTCTTTCAATCTTTACACAGCCACACAGTTTTCTCAATTAGGCTGAGAATAATAATTACGGCTACCATTACAATTACAATTCTTATGTTAATTTTAAAACTTACCATAAAAATTGGGAGGAACTGATGAAATATTGTATTGAAGGTCTGTTTTTCGTTCAAAAGTCCAAACAATTCCTTCACCATTGTATAATTGCTAAAACAAAGATCACTCTTTTCTCCTTTTTGACGAATTGGACAAAAGTGAAAAGAAATGCAAATATAAATATACTATACACATATATTATGAAATCATTTTCTAATCTGTTAAAGTTTTACCACCAGGGTCGACCGGAATTAAAATGAGGCCAAAGTCGAATTAATATCAAAAACACCTGTTTCTAAAGTAATACTTCACTTCCATTTTTTTTTTTTCAACGTCACATTTCTCCTTTAAGGGGAAAAAAACAGCAGTAACATAAAAAAACTAGCGTTATTGAAGTATTTGAGTTATGTTGAGAAAAAGGTCAGAAAACTTTGTGATGTAAATGTACTTAAATTTGTTCAAGATAACACGTATGTCATACATTTGTACAAAAAGAAAAAAAAAATTAATGAGCTAATTACTAGAGCAGAAATAAGTTTGATCCGTGATCGCTTGATATATAATTTGCAGTTTAGCAGTATAAATCTTCCCACTTCAAGAGCAAAACATTTCATGAAACTTTATTACCATTTTTTAACAAGAAGCCATCAGTGTAGAATAGCAATAAGATTCCTACTTCGTACTTCTACTACTTCGATTATGGCAAATTTAATATTCGATTTAATGGACCTAAATTATGGAATGAACTCGATGAAAGATTCAAGTGTTGTACTTCTAATCAATCTAAAAAAGAACTAACTTCGCATTTCATTAGTCTCTATTAATCTTTACTGATATTTTGATGGTTTATATCTATTTATTTTGTTTTGTTTTGTATTTTTAATCTTGTACCAAGTTTGTGATACTTATGTGTACCAATGTATTTGTTGTGCCTCTTTCCTGACTCTTTGATTGAAATCGAGAAAACGTGGGGAATGAAAACAACAACTGTCCCAGTGATCATTGGAGCTTTCGGACTTTTCAAGAAGGGAACAGAAAACTATATCGGCAAGATCCCAGGCAATATTGGAATAACAGAGCTACAGAAGACCGTCCTCCTTGGACCTGCTCACATACTTAGGAGGACTCTATCCGTCAAGTAATCCAGCAGACTTATGACTGCCCTAGGGTCACGGATTGAACTCGGCGCCATAAGTTAAAAGTGGCAACACTTTAAAGAGTCTATTTTTAAAGACGGACACAGACGAACTATGTCTTATTTCAAATGCTGGAACATTCCATAGTGTAGGTGCTGCCACTGAGACGGATCTTGCCTCATATGTTTTCAAGTTATGAGACGGAGTTAAAGGAAGATGTTTGAATCATGAGCGTAGTTGATGTGATGGAGTATGTGTGTCCTTTGGGTTTTGCCGTTTCTTATGATAGGTCCCTTCAAGAGGAACTTTCCCAAAGAGCAGCTGGTCTCTAGAGTCAGAGAAGAAAACAAGACCGTGGCACATCAATTTGAAATGCAAGACATGCCAATATCTTTGGCCGTTTACAAAATATTGTGTATCACAACAAACAACCTTCCTGAAAATATATATTTTTTAAAAAATCTGATCTAAGAGAAAAAATACAAACCCCGGCTTTGATAATTAACGCTGGCATACCCAAACTCATCTAATTACACGTATTGCTCTTCTAGAGCAGGCAATGACGTGTAATGGAGATTAAGCAATGGCTTCTCAACATTTTGAAGAACCAGCAATCAATTTTACACTTTAAATTCGAACCATTCTCAGACGAAATTATAACACTGTTCTGACCAAAATACAGCAATGCCTTCATAGTGTCCCTTTATTTAGTGTTAGAACTCTATATTCTACCATTGTCCATTTCACATTCTATATTTATTCATCTTCCTTCAGAATATGCTCTTAACCAAGAGTATCTTATTTTCTTCAGCTGAATTGTTTTTAAAAGAACATAAAGTGTTAGCATAGCATATAACTTTATATGATTTTTGATCATCACCTAGATTGATCACATAGTCTTTCCGTAGATTATTAGTCAAGAAGTCCCATTTTGTTTCTCAGAGAGCTGTACTGGCAAGGAACCAACTTATTCTCTCTGTGGAACACAAGGTCATAGGTAAACATGTAAAGTGACAAGGAAAAACACACAACACGTCTTAAAAAATTATAGGGAACGCAAATTCGCCCTTGAGAAAAGGTGTCGATAGTCTCTAGTGCTGGGGACTTCAATAGCTTATATTCCTCGAAGCGCTGACATTTCTATCGACTTCTTCGGTTACTACTGACTCTAATTATGCTACTCATTGTAGTGATTAATTGTACTGGTTAATGCAAGATCGAAGATTTTAAGCTAAATGACTAAATTGTGAATATGTTTGAATTTATTTATTGTAGAACTAAAAAGAACTCAATGGTATAACTTGGACAAAAACCAGATACACCAGCGGGCCGAAGACAACTTAACTGACAATCAGCCAATGAAAACGATGTGGAATAGTAATTCTTAATTGAAATCTAGCCTTAATGTTTTTGTGAAAATCTAGTGATCGAACCTAGACAAAACAAAGAACAAAACTGAGATCACAAGACCAACACAAGACAAACTATAAATTTATAATTATTAGCAACGATCAAATGTAGACGCCTAAGCTTGTGAGAAACTCAAACTTGGAAAAAAATAAAAGCAATATCAACAAGTGACTACCTTAATGTTTCACTTGTGACTTATACACACGAAGGAAACAAAGTTAACGGAACTAAATCCTCTATCTCTCCTTCATGTTTTCATGTACCATTTACACGTCAAACCTTATTTTGTATTACGATGCGCCCATGGTACAATAGACAGAACAATGATACCCAAAGCGAAGTACATTTGTATAATCCAGGAACTTGTGTTTGTAATGCCAGCTTCGTTTGTAACTGCTAAGAAGCACTTGATTTATCGCTTTTTTAGGCTTTTTTTTGTTTGTTTTTAAACTGCTCGATAATTATTGTATATTTCTACAAACTTGATTTCGAACGCCACTGTTGAAGTGCTTTTAACGTAGGCGTGCGGGCATCTTGAGACTTGTGGGAAGAAATTCCATGATGCCGTTATTAAAAAGCAAAAAAGAGTTCAGGGCATTGGGTAATGCCCGAATGGTTGAGTAAATACAAACGTCCTCAGATTGCAGCAGAAACGAAAAGTTCCCAATCCACTCGTCTGATGAAGCTTTTATAATTACGAAACTCGTTAAATTTGGAACAGAGATTATTCTATGACCTCGATCAACAACCCATTCCTCGTGGGAAATCTCCAAGAGAAATTTAAAATTAAACAGAAATAAATAAGTAAATGACGACTCTTTGTGGAGCAAATCTGGATCAACAGTTCTTTTGAAAGCCCCACAAAGCTAAAAGCCTTGGTCTTTGTTCGTTCCATTCTTCATGGAAAATTGGGAACGGAAATAATGTCCATATCGTGGATCTCTATATTAACTTTAACTGAAACGTGGCTTTTCCAAAACGGAATACCTGGATCCCGCAGACCTTTTGACTGTAAGCTTTAGACTCTTTGGGATAGTCACTTTAAACAAACAACCTTATCGATTTAGTACTCCACTGTTGCAAAGTATATGTCGTATTTTCTCCCGTTTTTCGGCTTCTAGTTTTTGAAATACATCTCAAAACAAAATATGACTTTATGGTGCAATAAGGGCTCATATTTTGCGCGTTCCCTTGACTTAACGTGGGGTAATTGCGTAATAGTAGAATAACAATTTCTTTTGCTGTGCGATGTGTATCGATATCGCTATGTCAAGTTAGCGATATCAGTTAATTAAAAAAACAAAACAAAAAAGCAAAAAAAAACTAGCATTTCCCTAGTTGCACCATCATCCGTCATTTCATAACTAGCATGCGAGGTCACTGAATTAAGATATATCCCATGGCCTTGATGTGCCTGTCTCCATTATCTGGTGCAGCGACTGCTTCAATGCCACAAGTGTTGGAGTCGTCATGACGCCCTCCTGTTCCAAACCCGATTCTGGAATCACAAGTGCGGCAGTGGTTTTCGTTGTTTCCAATGATACCGATTCTTGCTTTGGTTCCGCCCAGTTCGTGGCATTCTGCATTAAACCCTTCTCTGTTACAGTTGTCCTGCAAGGAGCCTTGGGAACCAAAGAGCGTTTTCCACGTGTCACGACCCAGGGATGTGGCTCGGAATTGCCCGTCAGCAATCAATGATTGCAGCGAATCAGCGGCCTCGTTTATGGTGATAAAGTTCGTGCTCTCCTCGCCTGGGATCTTCATACCGAGACAGATTTTGGAAAAGGGTGTGTTCCAATATGTCGGTAGCTTGGTCTCAAGTGTGTCAAACCCAGTCTCCCCTCCTACTATATTGAATGCTTCTTTGTTGCTCCAGAGATTGGAATTGTAGTGGAAAGTTTGCTAGAAAACAAGAGATAGTGAGCATTTGACCAAGAATCTCTGGTGTGGAAACCATGCCACGCATGCGTTTAGGTTTTTCGGGTTTTATCCCGTGTAAAATAATCACAGTCTGGGAAGTTAACTTGTAGTTCACAAAATTCACCCAAAAAAATATATGCGAAGGAGACTAAGCCCGAAGACGAATGCCTCTATTCCTCGCACAGCATACCGAGCTCAATCAAATGAAACGGTAACCTTACTCGTAATTACGTTTTCCTTGAATTTGAGTGGACGTGGCTTCTTAATGGGCCTAGTTGGCTCGATTATAAGCTCTCTTTGACAAAAAGAAATGTTTCTTAGCAATGCCCTACACAATTTAGGATAACTATTTTCAGTTAACGATGTGGTCCTAGATACCATTTTGTAGCAATATAAACAGAGTAGTTCACATCTACACGTATTGTCTATCTATTACATATCTACTGTGAATTATACGGCAGGAATAATAACAAGACTATAAAAAGGAGGATAAAATACCTGTGTTCCATCAATCTTCATGACCAGAGTCCATCCACCTCCACCACATGTTCCCATTCCAGTGTCGACCATTACACAGTAGACAGGAGTATTTTCGGATCCTACGTCAAGGTCGTAGGCTTTGTTTTCTCTGGTTCTGAATTTCAGAAAAAAAGACCATTTAGTTCTGGTATATTCGATATTTTGCCTTTACTGCCAAATTTCACCCGCAGAGTAAGTGGTTAACATCCGGGGACGAATTCATCTTTAATCTACTCGAGACTAAAAATATGTTTTTAATACTGAAGCCAGGACAAGAACTTGAAGACTCGGGAGTTATCTTTCAATCGGATAAACATTAAATTTTTTAATACCCTTTTTGATGAGTTTCTGATTATATTGTAAACTTGTTCACACTCTTTCCAAGTATTGATTTGGAACGCAGTTACCTCATTCCGCTCAAATCGTGCCCTACATCACGAAAGGACTTAGATATATTTACGCCGTATCACTACGTCGTGTTGTGCATTGTAAATTTCATGCTGGTATATAAGTAAAACTTTGAATAAACCCATCACTTACAAAGTCAAGTCATATTGCTCCTTGCAAGTAGAATCTGTAGCAACAAATGAGCAGAAAGGCATTGGTTAACATTTAAATTATATAAGTCTTCATTCCTGCCAAGGACTCTAAAGGAGTGCCGAGAACAGATGCCCCCGTCATATTGCATCGCCGGAATCGCTTGAGTCTTCAAAAGAAGGTATTTTTACGATTTATTAGTTATGTTTGCGATTTATTATATGTATTAGTTGATTAGCTAACGCAGTCCTATATATTTAGCTTTGAATTTGGACTTACATGGTAAATCAATCAATCAATCAATCAATTAATCAGTCAATTAATCAATCAATCAATCAATATCGAGGACGATAATACTCTATGTAAATCAGCATTAGCAAATACTTTTTAAGAGCGTTACCCTTTGCTTCTATTCTTGTGAATTTGACTTTCTCTTTTCCATGGTGTCGTTTTCAAAAGGTAAACAATATCTCCTAGCGCACGGAAACATACCAGGAACACTTTCCATTCAAATAAAATTCCAAAATGTTCGAGATGAGAACTAATGTTACCGAAATTTACTGAGAGTTTTGAACTTCAGAAAAACGCACAATTCAACCCAAAAATCAGGAACTTCTGAGAGCGAAATCAAAATAAACGAAATTCAGGTTTAAAATGTCTGAAAATTTGGGTGTACCTCGTGAGGTTGTCCTCTTTCCGGAAAATTCGGGAAAATTCTGTTCCGGTTGCCACTAGAAAATTCCGGAAACTCAATCCAGAGTTTTTTTGTCGACTGAAAAATACCTCAGGCTGGCTCTTTGGTCAAATTTAATTTGCTGCCATCCAGACCCCGGTTGTTAAAAGGCTGGATAATGCTATTTACCGGATCGATAAATCGCTATCCAGTGGATAAGTGTTAACAAAAGAAACCACGCTACCCACTGGATAGTGATTTATCCGGTGGATAGCATTATCCACCTTTTGAACAGCCCGGGTCAGTTGTTCAAAGAAATATTGTCAATGATCTAGCATGAAAATTGATCGAGATTTTAACCCTCTTCTGCAATTTTGTTTTTCACTGCTTCTGTTTTTAGCATTAAGGTTTTTCGAAGACAGAAAAGTAAAGTTTTATTTTAGAACAGACGCACGAGTTAAAAAAACTGAATCAACCTCTTGCTAATTTTTAACTATGTTAATTTTTCATTTTTTTAAATTGGCCCTGGATTTGAAAGACAAAGGAAAAAAATGAGCGTTTTTGTAGCTATATGTTTACACGACTAGGTGCATGTGCAAGCTACAACGGTAATCGTTCAATTTCATTGTGGATAAAACGGTCAGAAAGAATAGTGCAGGTGACTCTCTTGCGGGAAATTTCAGTTTGATAGTTTCTCAGTCAGTGGCGAAAACGTGACGATATTAGAGGCAGTTTTCATTATAATTCCTTTCGTATTCCCCGAGTCCATGCGTTAAGTACATTTTTGTTTTCGTATCAACCACACGTGTCTCAGTAATCACAGATTATAATTTTGTGAGGGCAGAATGAAAGCCTGTTTGTAGCCACATGTTTACATGAAAGTTGGCAGAAGATGTCAGGCAAGGGATTTACAAAGAAAAGGTGAAGTTTAGTATTGAACATCGAATTTGTTATCTGGCCAGACGGTTTATTTTGGACCAGACGCACGAGTTATCTACTCGCATGCGATTGGTTTATAAACAATGTAATTGGGTGGTCTGCATTACAGCGTGTACAAGCGTCGAACCGTNTCCAGCAGACTTATGACTGCCCTAGGGTCACGGATTGAACTCGGCGCCATAAGTTAAAAGTGGCAACACTTTAAAGAGTCTATTTTTAAAGACGGACACAGACGAACTATGTCTTATTTCAAATGCTGGAACATTCCATAGTGTAGGTGCTGCCACTGAGACGGATCTTGCCTCATATGTTTTCAAGTTATGAGACGGAGTTAAAGGAAGATGTTTGAATCATGAGCGTAGTTGATGTGATGGAGTATGTGTGTCCTTTGGGTTTTGCCGTTTCTTATGATAGGTCCCTTCAAGAGGAACTTTCCCAAAGAGCAGCTGGTCTCTAGAGTCAGAGAAGAAAACAAGACCGTGGCACATCAATTTGAAATGCAAGACATGCCAATATCTTTGGCCGTTTACAAAATATTGTGTATCACAACAAACAACCTTCCTGAAAATATATATTTTTTAAAAAATCTGATCTAAGAGAAAAAATACAAACCCCGGCTTTGATAATTAACGCTGGCATACCCAAACTCATCTAATTACACGTATTGCTCTTCTAGAGCAGGCAATGACGTGTAATGGAGATTAAGCAATGGCTTCTCAACATTTTGAAGAACCAGCAATCAATTTTACACTTTAAATTCGAACCATTCTCAGACGAAATTATAACACTGTTCTGACCAAAATACAGCAATGCCTTCATAGTGTCCCTTTATTTAGTGTTAGAACTCTATATTCTACCATTGTCCATTTCACATTCTATATTTATTCATCTTCCTTCAGAATATGCTCTTAACCAAGAGTATCTTATTTTCTTCAGCTGAATTGTTTTTAAAAGAACATAAAGTGTTAGCATAGCATATAACTTTATATGATTTTTGATCATCACCTAGATTGATCACATAGTCTTTCCGTAGATTATTAGTCAAGAAGTCCCATTTTGTTTCTCAGAGAGCTGTACTGGCAAGGAACCAACTTATTCTCTCTGTGGAACACAAGGTCATAGGTAAACATGTAAAGTGACAAGGAAAAACACACAACACGTCTTAAAAAATTATAGGGAACGCAAATTCGCCCTTGAGAAAAGGTGTCGATAGTCTCTAGTGCTGGGGACTTCAATAGCTTATATTCCTCGAAGCGCTGACATTTCTATCGACTTCTTCGGTTACTACTGACTCTAATTATGCTACTCATTGTAGTGATTAATTGTACTGGTTAATGCAAGATCGAAGATTTTAAGCTAAATGACTAAATTGTGAATATGTTTGAATTTATTTATTGTAGAACTAAAAAGAACTCAATGGTATAACTTGGACAAAAACCAGATACACCAGCGGGCCGAAGACAACTTAACTGACAATCAGCCAATGAAAACGATGTGGAATAGTAATTCTTAATTGAAATCTAGCCTTAATGTTTTTGTGAAAATCTAGTGATCGAACCTAGACAAAACAAAGAACAAAACTGAGATCACAAGACCAACACAAGACAAACTATAAATTTATAATTATTAGCAACGATCAAATGTAGACGCCTAAGCTTGTGAGAAACTCAAACTTGGAAAAAAATAAAAGCAATATCAACAAGTGACTACCTTAATGTTTCACTTGTGACTTATACACACGAAGGAAACAAAGTTAACGGAACTAAATCCTCTATCTCTCCTTCATGTTTTCATGTACCATTTACACGTCAAACCTTATTTTGTATTACGATGCGCCCATGGTACAATAGACAGAACAATGATACCCAAAGCGAAGTACATTTGTATAATCCAGGAACTTGTGTTTGTAATGCCAGCTTCGTTTGTAACTGCTAAGAAGCACTTGATTTATCGCTTTTTTAGGCTTTTTTTTGTTTGTTTTTAAACTGCTCGATAATTATTGTATATTTCTACAAACTTGATTTCGAACGCCACTGTTGAAGTGCTTTTAACGTAGGCGTGCGGGCATCTTGAGACTTGTGGGAAGAAATTCCATGATGCCGTTATTAAAAAGCAAAAAAGAGTTCAGGGCATTGGGTAATGCCCGAATGGTTGAGTAAATACAAACGTCCTCAGATTGCAGCAGAAACGAAAAGTTCCCAATCCACTCGTCTGATGAAGCTTTTATAATTACGAAACTCGTTAAATTTGGAACAGAGATTATTCTATGACCTCGATCAACAACCCATTCCTCGTGGGAAATCTTCAAGAGAAATTTAAAATTAAACAGAAATAAATAAGTAAATGACGACTCTTTGTGGAGCAAATCTGGATCAACAGTTCTTTTGAAAGCCCCACAAAGCTAAAAGCCTTGGTCTTTGTTCGTTCCATTCTTCATGGAAAATTGGGAACGGAAATAATGTCCATATCGTGGATCTCTATATTAACTTTAACTGAAACGTGGCTTTTCCAAAACGGAATACCTGGATCCCGCAGACCTTTTGACTGTAAGCTTTAGACTCTTTGGGATAGTCACTTTAAACAAACAACCTTATCGATTTAGTACTCCACTGTTGCAAAGTATATGTCGTATTTTCTCCCGTTTTTCGGCTTCTAGTTTTTGAAATACATCTCAAAACAAAATATGACTTTATGGTGCAATAAGGGCTCATATTTTGCGCGTTCCCTTGACTTAACGTGGGGTAATTGCGTAATAGTAGAATAACAATTTCTTTTGCTGTGCGATGTGTATCGATATCGCTATGTCAAGTTAGCGATATCAGTTAATTAAAAAAACAAAACAAAAAAGCAAAAAAAAACTAGCATTTCCCTAGTTGCACCATCATCCGTCATTTCATAACTAGCATGCGAGGTCACTGAATTAAGATATATCCCATGGCCTTGATGTGCCTGTCTCCATTATCTGGTGCAGCGACTGCTTCAATGCCACAAGTGTTGGAGTCGTCATGACGCCCTCCTGTTCCAAACCCGATTCTGGAATCACAAGTGCGGCAGTGGTTTTCGTTGTTTCCAATGATACCGATTCTTGCTTTGGTTCCGCCCAGTTCGTGGCATTCTGCATTAAACCCTTCTCTGTTACAGTTGTCCTGCAAGGAGCCTTGGGAACCAAAGAGCGTTTTCCACGTGTCACGACCCAGGGATGTGGCTCGGAATTGCCCGTCAGCAATCAATGATTGCAGCGAATCAGCGGCCTCGTTTATGGTGATAAAGTTCGTGCTCTCCTCGCCTGGGATCTTCATACCGAGACAGATTTTGGAAAAGGGTGTGTTCCAATATGTCGGTAGCTTGGTCTCAAGTGTGTCAAACCCAGTCTCCCCTCCTACTATATTGAATGCTTCTTTGTTGCTCCAGAGATTGGAATTGTAGTGGAAAGTTTGCTAGAAAACAAGAGATAGTGAGCATTTGACCAAGAATCTCTGGTGTGGAAACCATGCCACGCATGCGTTTAGGTTTTTCGGGTTTTATCCCGTGTAAAATAATCACAGTCTGGGAAGTTAACTTGTAGTTCACAAAATTCACCCAAAAAAATATATGCGAAGGAGACTAAGCCCGAAGACGAATGCCTCTATTCCTCGCACAGCATACCGAGCTCAATCAAATGAAACGGTAACCTTACTCGTAATTACGTTTTCCTTGAATTTGAGTGGACGTGGCTTCTTAATGGGCCTAGTTGGCTCGATTATAAGCTCTCTTTGACAAAAAGAAATGTTTCTTAGCAATGCCCTACACAATTTAGGATAACTATTTTCAGTTAACGATGTGGTCCTAGATACCATTTTGTAGCAATATAAACAGAGTAGTTCACATCTACACGTATTGTCTATCTATTACATATCTACTGTGAATTATACGGCAGGAATAATAACAAGACTATAAAAAGGAGGATAAAATACCTGTGTTCCATCAATCTTCATGACCAGAGTCCATCCACCTCCACCACATGTTCCCATTCCAGTGTCGACCATTACACAGTAGACAGGAGTATTTTCGGATCCTACGTCAAGGTCGTAGGCTTTGTTTTCTCTGGTTCTGAATTTCAGAAAAAAAGACCATTTAGTTCTGGTATATTCGATATTTTGCCTTTACTGCCAAATTTCACCCGCAGAGTAAGTGGTTAACATCCGGGGACGAATTCATCTTTAATCTACTCGAGACTAAAAATATGTTTTTAATACTGAAGCCAGGACAAGAACTTGAAGACTCGGGAGTTATCTTTCAATCGGATAAACATTAAATTTTTTAATACCCTTTTTGATGAGTTTCTGATTATATTGTAAACTTGTTCACACTCTTTCCAAGTATTGATTTGGAACGCAGTTACCTCATTCCGCTCAAATCGTGCCCTACATCACGAAAGGACTTAGATATATTTACGCCGTATCACTACGTCGTGTTGTGCATTGTAAATTTCATGCTGGTATATAAGTAAAACTTTGAATAAACCCATCACTTACAAAGTCAAGTCATATTGCTCCTTGCAAGTAGAATCTGTAGCAACAAATGAGCAGAAAGGCATTGGTTAACATTTAAATTATATAAGTCTTCATTCCTGCCAAGGACTCTAAAGGAGTGCCGAGAACAGATGCCCCCGTCATATTGCATCGCCGGAATCGCTTGAGTCTTCAAAAGAAGGTATTTTTACGATTTATTAGTTATGTTTGCGATTTATTATATGTATTAGTTGATTAGCTAACGCAGTCCTATATATTTAGCTTTGAATTTGGACTTACATGGTAAATCAATCAATCAATCAATCAATTAATCAGTCAATTAATCAATCAATCAATCAATATCGAGGACGATAATACTCTATGTAAATCAGCATTAGCAAATACTTTTTAAGAGCGTTACCCTTTGCTTCTATTCTTGTGAATTTGACTTTCTCTTTTCCATGGTGTCGTTTTCAAAAGGTAAACAATATCTCCTAGCGCACGGAAACATACCAGGAACACTTTCCATTCAAATAAAATTCCAAAATGTTCGAGATGAGAACTAATGTTACCGAAATTTACTGAGAGTTTTGAACTTCAGAAAAACGCACAATTCAACCCAAAAATCAGGAACTTCTGAGAGCGAAATCAAAATAAACGAAATTCAGGTTTAAAATGTCTGAAAATTTGGGTGTACCTCGTGAGGTTGTCCTCTTTCCGGAAAATTCGGGAAAATTCTGTTCCGGTTGCCACTAGAAAATTCCGGAAACTCAATCCAGAGTTTTTTTGTCGACTGAAAAATACCTCAGGCTGGCTCTTTGGTCAAATTTAATTTGCTGCCATCCAGACCCCGGTTGTTAAAAGGCTGGATAATGCTATTTACCGGATCGATAAATCGCTATCCAGTGGATAAGTGTTAACAAAAGAAACCACGCTACCCACTGGATAGTGATTTATCCGGTGGATAGCATTATCCACCTTTTGAACAGCCCGGGTCAGTTGTTCAAAGAAATATTGTCAATGATCTAGCATGAAAATTGATCGAGATTTTAACCCTCTTCTGCAATTTTGTTTTTCACTGCTTCTGTTTTTAGCATTAAGGTTTTTCGAAGACAGAAAAGTAAAGTTTTATTTTAGAACAGACGCACGAGTTAAAAAAACTGAATCAACCTCTTGCTAATTTTTAACTATGTTAATTTTTCATTTTTTTAAATTGGCCCTGGATTTGAAAGACAAAGGAAAAAAATGAGCGTTTTTGTAGCTATATGTTTACACGACTAGGTGCATGTGCAAGCTACAACGGTAATCGTTCAATTTCATTGTGGATAAAACGGTCAGAAAGAATAGTGCAGGTGACTCTCTTGCGGGAAATTTCAGTTTGATAGTTTCTCAGTCAGTGGCGAAAACGTGACGATATTAGAGGCAGTTTTCATTATAATTCCTTTCGTATTCCCCGAGTCCATGCGTTAAGTACATTTTTGTTTTCGTATCAACCACACGTGTCTCAGTAATCACAGATTATAATTTTGTGAGGGCAGAATGAAAGCCTGTTTGTAGCCACATGTTTACATGAAAGTTGGCAGAAGATGTCAGGCAAGGGATTTACAAAGAAAAGGTGAAGTTTAGTATTGAACATCGAATTTGTTATCTGGCCAGACGGTTTATTTTGGACCAGACGCACGAGTTATCTACTCGCATGCGATTGGTTTATAAACAATGTAATTGGGTGGTCTGCATTACAGCGTGTACAAGCGTCGAACCGTGAAACTGAAAACATCCTGACAAAGCTTCGAACCCAGGCCCGTAGCTTCCTAAGGTGGCTCAACGCATCAACCACAGCATCCGGCATCGTAATCTAGCCCTAAGTTAAAATGCAATCAAAAGCGCACACACGAAAAGGGTCATATCTGACTCACATTTGCAGTTATATGATCCCTTGGTATTGTTGCAGGAAATATCAGCAGAACAGTTGTGTGCTCCTGTGGTACATTCATCGACATCTGGAAAGAGAGAAGTCTGCGATGAATTCAACCGCGTTTGTATTTACCTCTGTATCATGCGCATGCGTGTTTGCCAGACAAGGAACAATGCGTCGAAGGCCAAATGTAGCAAATGAAGGAAAGTTAGCTCTCCCTGTGTAATTTTAAGGAACATATTGGCTTTCAAAACATGAAAGTATCTTCTTTTTAAAGCACCAACAAACCTATAGGAACACTAAGTAGTATTTAGTACCCAGGACTTTAATGTCGACTGTTTAGTAATAATCTTGCCATGTCCTTCAAATTATCAGAATTGATATTTCAGTTGCTGTATTAGAGACTTGCGCGCGTGCACTATTGTTACCTTTGAATTGTGAAATACCAAAAAAAACCGACCTTCACATATTTTTCCATCTCCCTGATAACCAGGTTTACAAATGCAGTTGTAGGATCCTTTGGTGTTAACACACCCAGCATTAGTATCACAACTGGATGTTCCTGCGGCACACTCGTCAATGTCTAAAAATTGAATTGCATTCATTTAACTAGCTTGGAGTAGCTTGCAATCTTGAAGGAATAAGATTTAACCTAGCTTTTTTGCCTCCGAACTTATCAGAAGCGTACATTTATTTATTTATTTATTTATTTATTTATTACAATTTACTCCATACAATACGAATACATTGTGACTAATTAAGATAGCTAACTAAAGAAAAAAAAAAAAACAGACAAAAACAAAAAGCAGTGGAGAAGGAGACAACCAAAAGCGTAATGGCACCATACTAGGGATGTCCCCACTTATTAAAATTTAAAAATATATATACAAATATACAAATACAAATACAAATACAAATACAAATACAAATATATAAATATTCTAATTATTCATATGATAAGATACATATGTCTCATTGGCTAACGTTGCCTGTACAAAATGCTGAATGATTTATTTAGTACGATTGTGTCTTACATTCTAGACAGTTCGTTGATTAGCTCGTTATTTCAAATGTTTATATCACAAACATTGTAAAGCGCCATTAATCTTTGGAAATGAGCGCTATATAAATTCATGTGTTGTATTGTATTGTAAATATCAAACATGTATAAATATATAGACGTCTTTAATATTCTTGTCTTTTTAGAGTTAATTCATTTTTCCCACCTTTTTTTATGTTCATGAAAATAAGCAGGTAAATAGATAGCTTGTAGGTTTACAATATATATATATATGTGTGTGTGTGTGTGTGTGTGTATTTGAGCAAATCACTTGTTCATTTTAAGATAAAAATATAAATTATCTTTGGTAGTGCCAAATGTAGATGTAAAGCTTTTAGCGCGGGCTTTCGTCCAGAGTGTTCCCTAAAAGCGAGCTTTACCAGACTCTTGATAAGTACAGCTTTCGAGGGCAAGTCGTCAAACAAATAGAGCTACACATAGGAAATATATAAGGAGAGTGGACGATGGATTTCAGTTATCGACACTGCGTTTGTAAGTTTATCCCGGGGAGTAACCCTTTTAAATCACTGATCACCAAAAGCGTTGAAAACAAGAATAGTAATAACTTCAATTCAATTTTTTCGCTTCAGTCTATTTTCTGATTAAAAAAATATATTTTGCATCTTGTAGATGGAAATGTCTCATTAATAGTAGTCTACGTGTAAATGGTCATCCCACACGATAGGAAATATTTGCTTGTGAAAAGAACCTGTCTCCTCTGGGAGTTCATAATTTAAGAACTTCAATATGGCTTCCGTGACATGGTGTGAAGAGGCTCCGTTTAAAAAAGCTCTCACTGAGCTATATTTTTCTTACCAGTTTTGCAATCCTGACCGGTGAATCCTGCATGACATAAACAACGCTATCCTTTTGCTGTAAAACCGGTTTGACAGGTTGCTTTATTATAGCAAGGGGCACTGGCGCAAGGATTCTAATACGTAGAAGAAATATTAAAAGAGTTATTACTTATAATAGTAAATAGATAAAAAGCAAAATCAAAAGATTAAAATACATTAAATTACAGCGGTTGAAATAAAAATGGAAAAAATCTCGATCGCTAAGTATCGTTAAAGGCAAAAGCTATCCATGGCATGTTTCCACAAGAGTTCTTGAAACGCCCTATGTGGAATTTTGTATAAAATATAAACATTCCCGTGTGAAAACAAATTAACAATGACAGGGTATGAACAGATTCTATCTTAAAACGTAGCGCAGCATCAATCTGCCATTGTGATCTCCTTCATTCCTCCAGAGCCTTGTTAAATGCAAGTGAAGCTTAGAATATTGTTCTCTTGTAAAAGATACGACAAGCAGTCAGTAAAGGTGTAACAAAAAATCAGAACTTCGTATAATTTAAAATCACTTCTCTGGCTCGCTCTTACTTTTGCTCCATGGTATTCATAATTTGAGTCTTTCTCCAGGTCTTCCTCGTGCTCTTCGTGGGTAGCATTATTCAATTCGCAATGGTGTTTTCCATTTTCACTTATTGTCATCAAATTATAACTGACACAATTATGCTCCATGAAGCATAGCACACCACAAAATTCACCATCCATGACGTCGGCTTTGCGAATCATGTGGTTCATCAGACGTTCACCAATGCACCCCTCTTTAAACTCCAATTGACGTTTACATTCGTCTGAAAGAAATATATTTAGCATAATCATGACCGAGGTAGGTTGCTGCATATCTATAACCTTCCTCTCTGTCATCATGATCGTCATTTTCACTAATATCACTTCCTATTTTTATTAAACAAGAAATAATACCAGGTAAACAGTCTATACGCTGTACATGTAGCAGGTAAAATTCCACCCAGCATAACAGTTGAGCCCTCCTAGCTGAGTTGATCATCTTGCAAAATGTTGCGGTATATCTAGTTATGAAAACAACATACAAACAACCTTGGATACAACTGGCCTAGTGGAAACAAATTTCTGTTTTACAAAACGGGTTAAAGTCAAACGAATCAATAACAGAAAACTGAAGAAATATTTTTCCCATGAGATAAAGTCTCATATCCTCCAGGCACACACCAATGACAAGCCCAAGCATCTCTATATTGAAGATATTTAGCTACGTGATTTCGAGTCTTCCCATATAGCAGATACGAAGAACGTTTGGGCAAGCCGCAGTTTAAAAAGAACTATTAAAACATTGAAGAAGCAGGATCTCGATGCCTTCCAGCCTAATAGCAGCGACATCATCAAAAACTTCATATATCCTAAATATTAACAGAGTGGCATTGCTGCTAATTTCTTCGAGCTATCTA